TTACAAAGCTTGGACTTCCACTCCCAACAGCTTCGAGATCTTGGAAGAACTGGTGGTTAACATCTCGGCCAACAACATCATCCCGCACGATTGGAACCACGCTCTACTAGCCATGCTACCAAAAGGTGACGCGCCTGCTGGTCATGCAGAATGCTTTCGGTCGCCAGACCAACTCCGCCCTCTCGCGATGAAGAGCACCGACGTACAGATTGCCGCCTCCGCCATCAACCGCAAGCTACATCCGATAGTCAAGCAAGTGTCGAGTATCCAACGAGGCTTCGTACCTGGCCGCCAGTTCCTCAACAACATAGTCGAAGCTGACACGTACAGCCGCATCTACAGCACCATGGACAACGCCACCGAGCACATGCCGTGCTTCCTCAGCATGGACATCGCGGCCGCCTTCCCAAGCTTGCTTCACGCCTGGTTATGGGAAGTGATTCGCAGATGGGGGATTGATGGACGCGTCCGTCGCCTCCTCCAGTCCTTCTACGCCTCGCCCATCGCCTTCCTCGAGCTGGGAGGCACGCGTCGACCACTTCTCGTTGCATCCAGCGGAGTAGCCCAGGGCTGCCCGCTCAGTGGCACCATCTGGGCCCTGGTGTTCGACCCCATCCTACATGGAATTCAACGCCACTTTCGTCAGATTGGCCGTGGCATGGCCAGTGCTTGTGCTGATGATATTGGTTGCGTCTTAGCACACTTGCGTGACATGCAAGGCATCCTTCCGCACACCGAAGCGGCCCAATCCTTCGCAGGTTTGATGCTCCAACCTCGGAAGTGCGTGCTCGTCCCTGTTTGGACCAACGGCTACGAAGAGGTTGACGACGCCATGCGCGACACGCTTAGAACGATCAACCCCGCCTGGTCCCAGTTCAAGATCGACGGCAAGGCAAAGTACCTCGGAGTCTACATCGGTCCCTGTGCGGATGATCGAGCTCAATGGGCCGCCCCCGCGGCCAAGTGGTACCATCGTACCCAGATTTTGGGCGACGCCTCCGCTGCCATCCAGCTGAACGTTTCGCTGTACAACTCCTCCGCGATCACTTGCCTCACTTACGTAGGACAACTATTTCCTGCTCCAGAACCCGTTCTTTCCAAAGAAATTCATGCTCTTCACAAAGTTATCAGATCTGCTCCTTCAGCATTCACCAAGCTCGACATCCTCGGCATGACGAACTGGGCGGGCTGCGCCATCCCCACTGGTGTCGAAGTCCTGCTGGCTGCCACGCTGTGGCGCTCTGCTACTTCCACCATGAATGCCTGGCCCCAGCTTCTCGAACTTCACCATCTCGCTGCACTCGATCAGATCCCTCTCGTCCGAGTTGTCCAGGGACTTTGGACTGCGCCATGCTGGGCCTCTGCTACTTCGATCGCGCAACACCTGCGGGCGGCCAAGTTTGGCGACAACTACTCCACCCACAAGGGCACCATCTTCAAGATCATCAAGCGCAGCCGCCGTCACGATCATCTGGCTCACCATCAGCTACGCCACGCTCATGAACTCGCCCGTGCGGCTGCTCATCGGGTCTTGGACAAACTTCGCCGTGCTGACGATGATCCCCCAAAGAGGTCACCGCAGACTACTTACATGATCACGTTGCAGCGCGTGCTCTACGAAGACTCCTTCGACGCCACCATCGCCGCCCGCCTTCGGGCCTGGTTCCCCACCCTCCCGTCCGCGCCGCATGCTGCCAACTCCGATTCACTACGCCTCCAACGATTTCCACCACTTCATCTACAAGTACCCAGCACACCTGATGATGACGACCACGACATGCGCAACGCCGCCAACGAGCTCGAGACCGTCGCGGAATGCCTGCAGCACTGGGCCTCCGATTGGCTTCCCTCGATTTACCTCGCTCAACCACTGCATGAATGGGACGTCGACGATTGGCATGAATGGTGCGAAACCTTTATTCTTCGTCTACTTCGTCGCGACGGTCTTCGTGTCCTCTTCCGTGGCCAAACTGACGCTCAGCTCCGCAGGCGTGCTGAACGTATCTGTACGCAGGCATGGCAATCAACATCGGCTTCCAGACTTCAGACCTCCGCCGCGTTCAATCCTCCCCGCACCGCCGAATTACAGCAGAGGTTCGAACGTGCAGCTAATGAACACCACGCTCGGCGCCGCTGGATCCACGACGCCGGTTTCCAGAACAATGACTCGGACTCCACTCCATTGATCACCGACGACCTCACCAACGCGTACGCGGACGACAACGATTTGACCTCCCTCATCCAGTTACCTTACAACATGAAGCCCGCGTGGAACCGCATCCGCCCGAAGATCGCCGAGTTGCCGCCTTCGCGCTTCTGGCCTGTGATGAAGACGCTTTCGGGCGGGTGGGCCACGTCATACCGTATGCATGTTCAACCTGGCCTTCGTGGTTGTGTTCTTGGTTGCAACCCAAAGTTTCACCCCGACGCCTTCAGCCACTACTTGGTCTGCAAGCGCCTGTGGCACCATGCTGCACTGCCACGCGGACGACTTCACAAATGCGCATTCGCCAGGCTAGGCCTGCATGGCATCAACTTCGACCCGCTCGGGGCCGACGACGACAAGATTGACCACGTGCTCGTGCGTCTTGCAGTGGTCTACAGATTTTACCACTCGATCAAGATCGACAACAACGTCGACAACCCCTACATCAACCACAAGAACTACATGCAGGCCTCGCGGCTCGCCCTGAGGCTTGGCCCGAGCGCGCACGGCGGTGCGCGCCCATTATAGATCGACGCGCCTCTCCCAGGGGTTCGTTCGCTCCTCCTCCTGCTCCTCCTCCCCCTCCTTCTCCTCCTCCTCCTCCTCCTCCTCCTCTTCCTCTTCCTCCTCCTGCTCACCTCCTCCTACTCACCTCCTCCTGCTCACCTCTTCCTCCTCCTCCTCCTCCTCCTCCTCCTCCAGCCTCCTCCTCCTCCACAACCACACCCATGACCCATGACCCGCACCGCGACCCGCCTGAAGCCAAGGCGCCAAAAGCTCAGAGGAGGAAAAGGTGCTGCTGCCGCTAACACAACCCTTCCCTTGTGTTCGCCTGAGCTCTGCGGGGCCTCCCGGGAGGCCCCCCTCGCCGCGGCTGGATGCACTTCAGAGTCTTGGTCAGAACGCGCTCAGACCTTTTGGTTCCCCTCCTCCTCTTCCTCCTCCTCCTCCCCCTCCTCCTCCTCCTCCTCCTCCTCCTCCTCCTCCTCCTCTTCCTCCTCAAAAGGGACGATGTCGGGCTCGGAAAGTGCTCCGATTTTCCATGTTGATCCTTGTAGATCTGGGTCGGGAAGCCTCTTCGTGGCCGAAGCTCGCCTTAGCCAGACAGACCCCTTCGATCCTCATGCATCGTTCCTCATGGCAGCGCGGCTGCTGCAGCTTGCTCTGAAGAAAGCCTGCGCCACTTGTGGGCGCTTCTGCGTTGTCCTTGGAACGGCCCGCCCAGGAAAAACGAGTCGGAGCACCCGGCAGGCTGTTTGTTTGCACTGGCTTCGGAGAGTTCGATTTGCACCCGCGCCCCCTGCGCCCCTCGGGCCCAACCCTCTCTCACAGTCAAAACGCTGAAAGACTTGGCATGGTCGGCTCAGCTGGGACCGGTTTTCGGGCCGCTCCTTAGATTTAGGCGTAAGTGGGAGGAATTATTCAAAAATGGTGAAAAAATGTCTGGGGACGATTTGTGTCTGCGTTTGTCTTTTTGCATATGCTTACGTCTTTTTTTATGTTTAGTCCAAACTCCGCCTGTAGGACGACATGCCCGACCTAAATCTAGATCGGGGGACCGGTTCGTGGCCGAGGCTCGCCGTGGCCTGGAAGGCCAATTTTTTTTTGTGCAGCGTTCTATCTGGTAGCACGATGGCTGTGCAGTGGAGACCCATGCCAAGAAACACCCTGCGTGCCGCCAGGGTGCACCGGGTTTCTTGGGTTTCGATCGTTTTGCGATGGAGAGCGTGGCGTTCCCACACCAAACATCAACGGACGTCCTGGGGTCTCATGGTTGGGTTTCTTGTGGACGCTTTCTAGTGGTCGGGCCCCTACTGTATCATCTCCTGTCTGAGCTGGATGTGTTCGCTGGCCGCAACGTCGGCCAGCTTCGACCGTGTCGCGGCTGCCGTGGTCGTCTTTTTTTTTTGTTGGGGGGGGGGGGGAATCGCGCCAAGCTCGGCCGGAGCTGGGGCCCCGGACGGGCAGGAAACCCTCGAACGCTCACCCGCCCCCGCCCCCTCGAACGCACGCCCGCGCCGAGCAGCTCCCCCCCCCCGCGCCCACGCCCTGGGAGGAGCACCGTGCGAGCGGGTGCCAGCCAGCGGGGGCATGGCCGACTGCGAGCCAATCCTCACGCGGGCGTGGCCGTCCCTCCGGCGCGCGAGACGCGGCCCGTCATCAAAGTATCCCGCTTCTCAGAGCCTTCGCTGCCTCGATAGGCCCGTTGTGATACGCAGCACGTGCCGTTTTCGCAGCGTCCGTGTCGATACGTTGCGTGTTGGATCAACGTATTGCCCCACGTTTTGGCGATCGCATCGCGTCAGATCTACGTTTTCAGTCTACGTGTGGAGCTCCGTGTCCACACGCTACGTGTTGCGTGTTGCGTAGTGGGGCAGCTAAGCCCAGAGCACTTATGATATGGGGCGGTGCGCTGCACTTCGGCACGGTGGCAGCGACCCGTGGGGCAGGGGGGCGACCCAGGGGTCCCAGGAGGCCGACAAAGCACCGCCTGAGGCCCCAGGGAAGACCCAGGAGACCCCCACGACGCCCGACGGCGCCGCCTGCTCCCGGGGAGCCCCAGGAGGCTCCGTGGGGACACCCCGGGGGGGCCCCAGGGAGGCCCAGGGAGGCCCCTGGGGAGGCCCGGGGAAGGCCCCAGGCCGACCCTGGCTCGGGAGGCTCTCGGGGCGGCCCCCGGCGGCCCCAGGCTGGCGGAGATTCCGCCGCGCGAGCGCCTCCGGCGCCGCGGCGCGCCGCGGCAGCGCCGCCGCCGCGGCCTCCGACGCCCCGGCGACGCCGCGGGCCCCCGCAGGCGCTCCGCAGTTGGGCGGAGGAGGACGGCAACAACGCGGCCCTCAGCCCGGAGGCGGCGCCGCCCCCTCTCCTCCTGGGAAGGGGCACGGCGGAGGAGATGGAAGAGGAGGAGGAGGAGGAGGAGGAGGAGGAGCAGCAGCAGCAGCAGCAGCAGGAGCAGCAGGGAGAGGAGGATGAGGACGAGGAGGAGGAGGAGGAGGAGGAGGAGGAGGAGGAGGAGGAGGAGGAGCAGGAGGAGCAGGAGGAGCAGGAGGAGCAGGAGGAGCAGGAGGAGCAGGAGGAGCAGGAGGAGCAGGAGGAGCAGGAGTGGCCGCCGTCACTGATATGGCGGCCTCGTCGGAGGTCAGAGGCTGCGGAGGGCGAAGGGCGAGCCCTCCCTCCTACTTGAGGCTGGCCCTCTTTGTGTATGTCCTGTGTGTGGTGCATGGCCCTCTTCGTGTATGGCCCGCTCTGGGTATGGCCGTCCTGGAGTATGTCATGTTGTGTAACTATACGACCTTCGTGCATGCTCTGCCTCGGAGATTCCCGCGTCGTGCACGACCTGTATTCTAGATGCCCCCCTCCAAGTGCAACCCATCTTGTAGCTGACAAACCTCGTATGTGACATGAGTTGCATGTCCCTTCTCGAGTACTTACTCTCTGGTAGATGGCCGTCCTCATGTACAACATGTTGTGTGCATGTCCCTCCGCCTGCATGTATTTCCCTACCGCGACCTTCGTCATGTATGCATAGTGTTGCGTACGGTTCTCCTCGTATCTGTTAGTCGTGGCCCTTGTCACACTCAGACACGACTTGTGCCACATCGATTCTGGCAGTTTTTGCGTGACCATGTTGTACCACTTGGGTCACCGGTTGTAGCGATGTCGATGTGGCCGCAGTAGTCGCAGTGATAAGCAAATGGCGCCTGGATGGTGGACCACAGGCTCTTTCCATGTATACTTTGGGTTCTCGGGGTGCCTTTCGGGCGCCATTTGGCGACATGTGTATGTGTGTGTGCCTGTGCGTATGTTTGTGTCTGTGTCTCTGTCTCTGTCTCTGACACTGTCTGTGTATGTTGGTGTGTGTGTGGGGGGGGGGGGGAGTGCGTGTGCGAGTGGGGGAGGGCCCAACGGGGCTTCTTGGGGGCGTCATTGGGAATCTCTTGGGCGGTCATGGGCGTCCTGAGATGTTCTGAAGCTCGATGGCGCGCGCGCTGCAATGTTTCAATAACACCCAGCTGCGAATTATTTGAGCATATTGGAGCCCTTTGGGGTGTATGGTGGGCCGTCGTGCAGGGTCGGGGCCACCCCGAGGCCGTATTGGCCCGCACTGGGGCGTGTTCGGCTGCCTCGGGGCCCTCTGTGACTGTCTTGGGATCCTGTCTGGACCCCAGTGGACCGTCTTGTGACTTTCTGCTCTCGGGGAATGTCATGCAACCAGCCCGGGGAGTCACGCGGCGATCTCCAAGATATCCAACGAATTCAGCTCCGGGCATGTCATGATGTTCGAACAGAGGGCTCGAATGATTCGAAAGAAACAGAGCAATACAGAGGATATGCTCCGAGCAATACAATGGATTCGAAGGGAAAAGAGGACACTCACTCCACAACGTGCCTAGTGGCACGGTGGCCCGTGGCCTACTGATGCAACGGAGACACTGGTACCACTGAGGACAGGGCCTGCTCAGTGGTTTGCGGACTCGCGTGGCGAAACCCATGGCGCAGCCAATGGCACAACTTTACATTCAATGAGCCATCGAAATATTTCGCACCTGGCGAGAAGCCTGGCGAAACCAGTGGCGCAACCGATGCCGCACCCACTTTGGTTACGAACGAGGCGGTTGCCCACGGGGTGTTTGGCGCAACTGATGACACAACAGCCGGGCCATCGGACGCTCAGCTTGCCCACAGCATCTCTGGCGCAGCATAGTTCTGGTGCTTTTGGGGGGGCCCCTTGTAGGGGTGTGCCTTGCTGCCTTTCTGTAAGCTTCTCTTCCGAGTGGTGTCCCCGAGGACGTGCGCGACATCGTCGAGGAGGACGTGGAGGTCCAGGAGGCGCTGGAGATGTTCCAGATCCAGAGGCGGCAACCTGTCTGGCTGCCCCGATGCCGCCGGCCGGGCGGAGACGCAGCAGCAGGCAGCGAGGTGGAGAAAGAGGCGAGGAGCGGAGGGCAGATGGAGAAAGGCCACGCGTAGAGGAGGGGGGGAGGGGGGAGGGCTTCTTAGAAGCACCCCTGCTTCTCAGAAGGCGCGGGCCTTCTCTATAGATGTAAGGCCGGCGCCTTCTCAGAAGCAGCCTCTTTCCCAGAAGCCCTCCCCCCTGCCTGCATCCCCTTGTGCGCGCCGCCAAGGAGAGGCAGGGGAGGGGAGGGGGGGTGGGAGGGGGGCGAAAGACCTGGCCAAGGAGCTGAGGCAAGGAGGGGGGGGGGGGGCCTCCTAGTTCCCTTCTTTCGTTGAGTGCTCTGCACTGTAGGGCCCTGGGCCGTTTCAGATTACTCCAGGTTGCCCCGCGCAAGACTTGCACAACATACGTTCCGCCGAGAGTTGAGGGAGCTTCCCCCCTCGCCTTGGCCCCGTGCTGCTCCGGCAGCTTCCACGAGGCTGGCCCGTTCTCTCAGCCGCCTTTCGAATCTTCGGGGCTGTGCGTGGAGTGTTGGTTCAGCGGCTGCGCAAGATTCTCCCAGCAATGTGGCCCGAGTGCCCCAGGCTGACCGATTCCTGGTCGCCGTCTCGTCTGCATACAGTCGGGGCGTTGACCTAAGGAACCCTAAATAAGGAACGAGGCTCCTTTTTCCCATCAGTTAAACATCGATTTCCCATGGGAAACCTAAGGAAAACGCAAGGCAAACTGCAAAACAATCAAGGAACACCGAGCCCCTCCCCAACGACAAGGGTTCCTTCTTCAGCGCCCCGACTGTAAGGCCTGAGTGAGATGCATCTCGCCGCCGATGCTCTGCGTGGGAGGGCTGTCCGCTGCGAGGGAAGGTGGGGGGCAGCGGTGGTCGGGGCAGGGGGGGAGTGGACTGCTGCGTACGGCCACTGAGCCTCGCTACCACTCGCCTTCAGTCGGGCCTGTCCCTCTGCAGGAGGAGTATCCAAAAATCGTTAAAAAATAGTCTGGGTACCATAGTTTGACAACTTTTGTATACTTTTTGCATATTTTTGACTATTTTTATTGTTCGTCCATATTCCGCCTGTAGGGGAACATGCTCGAGCTAACACTCGCTTGGGAAAGCGTGGCGTGCGACCCCCCCCGCCGTGAGGAAAGAGGTCCTGCGAGAAAAGGGGTCCTGGGCTCTTCGCCGCGTTCGGGCCTCTGGGGCCCGCTCCGGGCGCGGCCCCGGGGCAGGAACATTACGTCGGGCCTGTCCCTCTACAGAAGGAATATTCCAAAATCGTAAAAAAACATGTCTGAGAACGATTTTTTTTATTTATTTTAACATATTGTCCAGTGGTGTGTTTGTTGTTTTTGTGTTGTTTGTTGTGCTGTTTTGTTTTTTCTTTGTGGCAACAAAAAACACGCCCGAAATACACCCGTAGGGGGACATGCCCGACCTAACAGAAACAAGACAGAGCCTGGGACGAAGCGCCAGGCACGGAGGAGGCCCGCGGGCCCAAGGTCCGTTTCCCTCAGGCCCTCCTCTCTCTCAAGCTGGCCCTCCTCATGGCGCCAACATCGCAGAGCGGATTTCGTTCGGAAAACGAAAGGGTGGACCCGGAGTGTCCTAGAGAATTTCTTTCCAGATTTCGAGGTGAGTTTCGAGCGGATTTGTTGGATGAAGACCAACAGAAAGTCCACGTGAAACTAACTTCGTTTTTCGCTCGCCGCTTCGGGCAAAAATCCACGCAGAAATCCGCAGCAGCACGTCTGCAAGGCCGGTACAATGACAAGCTGGCCCTTCTTTTTAATTCAGAAGGACAATCATCGGGTTGGGGGGACGGGGCTGCGAGGAACGATCGCATCATCCATATTACCGCGTATGCTGAGGGTGTGTGTGTGTGTGTTTGTGTGTGTTTGTGTGTGTGTTTGTGTGTTTGTGTGTGTATGTGTGTATGTGTGTGTGTTTGTGTGTGTTTGTGTGTGTGTGTGTTTGTGTGTGTGTTTGTGTGTGTGTCTGTGTGTGTGTTTGTGTTTTTGCACAGTCGTACCCTGCATCTTCCCAACCTCTTCCCCCCAACACGATCGTTGTGTTTGTTCTCATGCAGGGTGGGACAAGGTGGCGGGATGGCAGACAACGGCGATGAGAGGGACAGGGAAGCAGGGATGCACGCTCCTAGCCTTCTCGACCCGTGCATGCGAGTGCAAGCAGGGAGAAGGGGAACGAGGAGGAGAGGGGAGCATGACGAGGAGAACAGCAGCACAATGAGGGGCATGAGGAGGAGGAGGAGGAGGAGGAGGAGGAGGAGGAGGAGGAGGAGGAGGAGGAGGAGGAGGAGCGAGGAAGCTGGGAAGAGGAGGAGGAGGAGGAGGAGGAGGAGGAGTCAGACTGGGGGAGGAGAACTGTGAGGAGAGTAGGGTGAATTCGGGAGGAGAAGGAGGAGGGAGGGAGGAGAAAGGACGAGAGGAGTAGCAGGAGGGAGGGAGGAGAAGGACGCGGAGGAGGACGGAGACGAGGAGAAGGATGAGGATAATTACCAGCAGAGGGATCAAAGCGGTAAAGAATGATGTGTCCCACCTCCTCGGGGGAGGACGGAGACGAGGAGAAGGAGGAGGATAGCTGCAGAGGGATCAAAGCGGTAAAGAAGGATGTGTCCCACCTCCTGGGGGGGGCATTTCCGCCCGCGCGAGGCCGGATCAAGGCCAAAAGGAGGAGGAGGAGGAGGAGGAGGAGGAAGAGGAGGACGTCGAGGAGGAGGGGAAGAAGAAGATGGAGGAGGCGGAGGACCCGCTGACCGAGAGTACTCGCCCCGCCACGTTGGCCGAAGTGCCGCGTCCTCATTTTGTGCGCACCTTGCGAATGTCACTCGAAGACTGCTGCTGCGGCAGTCGAAGCTGGTCGAACTACTCTGGTATGTGATAGTTGGCCTCGTGCACCCGGGCTTCCGGATTTATTTGGGAAGCGCTCAGTGAAACAATTGAAAAAATGGGCTACCAGGGCGTAGCGCACTGCCGTGTGAGCACGGCAGTGACAGGTTCCATGAGGATTGGATTTGGCAATTGGAATCCGCACACTTCTGCAGCGATTGCGAGTTGCTGCAGACGGGATTCCCAAGATACGTTCGAATAATGGTGCACGAAAAAATGTCACGTCTGACGATGCCCTTTCCATACTTCCCGTTTTCTTGAGGCACCACGGGCACCTGGATGGTTGGAAGAATGGGGGGTGCCACCTTCTGTAAGCGCTGTATGGCCGCAGGTAAATAACCAGCACTCGATCTTGGTGATGAGAGTGTTTTAGAATACACGCTCACCGACTAGAGCCCCACCAACACCATTGAAGATCGTCAGACAGAGCTCCCTCCAGATCATGATGGTGATGAGTCGACAAGCAATGACCAAGAACACCACCAACCAGATATGATCGAATCTCGTTTCAGGTCCTAGGCGCTCGCCTTCTGCACCGCACTGAGTCTCAAAGTGTCCTTTCACTTAAGAGTAGCTGTCTCTGGTGTGTCGCGCCTCGTAGTTTCGTTTCCCGCTCCCGCGCTGCCGTGCCAACAAACCTGGCCGAGGCACAGGTAACGAAGTGCGCTAATTGGCATTAGCCTCGTTCGGTGTCCATCTGGGGCTTTTGGGGGGGGCGCCCCCCCTCTTTTCCTCTCCTCCCTCAGCCTTCCCTCCTCCGCCTCCCGCCTCCCTCCCCCTCTCCTTCTCTCCCCGCGTGTCCGCGCCAGGGGCCAGAAGCTCGGCGACGCTCGCAGGACGCCGTTTTTTGCTCTTGTGCGTCAGTATCGATTACGCGGTCATAGTTTCATGCCCTGTGCCTTCACGCACCGACGGAGTAATCTCAGCGAAGGGCTGGTAGAATAGTGTGCATGGGACGTCCCCATCGTATCGATTCTGGCCGGTCCGATCCGACTCGATCTAATGTCTCGACGACCCGATGCAGCTCGATGCTTGCGTGGCTCTGTTGTGCATCCTGGGGCGGCCGATGCGGTCCGAATTCGGCTCCGTGCAGATGTAGCAGGATCCGACGCGCACTCCGATCCGATGCGATTTCCCGATTCGATGCTGACCGATCCCCACCGCGTCCCGCTGCGAGCCTGCCGGTGCAAGGCAGCGGGTCGCGACGCCACGTCCACCACCGGGCCCCCCAGAGGTCTCGACCCCTTGCCCGGGGACCGGCTTTTCATCCCGCGCAGTTTTTGTGAATGGTCCCAGGGCCCGTGATGAGAGCCCTTGGGAGACGGAAAATCGCCAAAAACCTACCCGAGCCGATGCGTCCCGATGCTCGCATGGCGCCGCTGTGCTTTCTGGCGCGGCCGATGCAATTCGATTCCGACTCCGCGCCGATGCGGCCGATCCGACGCACATCTCGATTCGAGAGCCGAGTTCCCGACTCGAAGCCGACTCTTCCTGCAATCGGCGTCACCCCTAACATATTTATACTATTACTATAAGTGGGTCGCCCCCCCAGGGGCGACGCGCGCACCGAGAAATCTTATAGTATATGCGTCGGGGCGGGCTCTTTCTGGCCACACCGCTCGGGAAAAGATACAAGATGGGTGTACTACATGTTCGGGTCGGACGCGCGCCTCCAAGGAGGACGTATAGTATCGGTATGCCCCTGTGCGTCCCATGCGACGCGAGGGTGTCAGCCCCCCCGCCGGCGCCAGGCAGCGGGCTGCGACCCCGCGGCAGCTCACGAGCTGCCCGTGAGGGGCCGAGCCCGCCGCCGCCATCGGCGCCCGCGGGGCGCGCAGGAGCTCCCGCTCCGCGCCCCCGGCGGCGGACCGCGCGCAGGCAACTTTCAGGAGGGAAAAAAACACACACTGACACAAGTGATCGTCGGCTCCCAGGAAAATATGGCGTTGTCCATCGGAGGCAGAAGGCCGCATGCCCAACAGCGGCCGCTGCCGGTGTTTGGGGGCACCGTCGGCCGGTCGGCCACGCGCAGAGGCCCAGAACCCTTTGCGCTGCGAGACAGGAGTCGCGGCGGGCGGTTGTTCGTTGTTTTCCGCCTCCGAGGGGCCCTTCCTGGGCACGGAGGGCCGTCCACAAACGACTCGGGATGAGAAGTCGGCCCCAGTCCAGATTTCCTGGGGTCCACGCGTCGAAAAAATTAGAGCAGCCGGACGTCTGGGGAGGGAGGCGGGGGGAGGGGGAGGGAGGCCTCTTTCAAAGCACACCTGATCCTCAGAAGGAGCGGGCCTTGTCTAAATAGAGGTGGGGCCAGCGCCTCGTAGTGGGGGTCAGCGCTAGCGGGGGTGAGGAGGAGGAGGAGCAGGAGGAGGAGGAGGAGGAGGAAGACGAAAACCCAAAAAATATTGAAAAATATGGGGAACCCTGGGATTTGTGTGTATTTCTGTGTGTCCCTGGGCCCCTTTAAACTCCCCCGAGACCCAGGTCTGTGCAGGCACCAAGTTCGATCAGAAGAACCCCTGGAGATCACAAGATACACTGCTGATGCCAGAAGGCAGACAAAAGGGCCATCGATCGGGGGTCAGCTAGGAGCCAGTCTGCATCGTGGCAGGGCTTTCGCGCCGGGCGGTTTCGCCCAGTTCCGGGCCTCTGGGGCCCTCACATACGAGGCAGTCCAGGAAGGGTTAAGTCGGGCGTGTGTCCCTCTGCACGAGGAAGATTCAAGAATAATCCAACCATAGTCAAAGAACGACTTTTCAGGACATGCCCGACCTAAAGGGAGGGCCTCGTCGTCGAGAGGTCGAAGGAGCTGGCACCTCTTCGTCGGTGGGAGGCGGCGGCAGGGTGGCGGAGGGCGGCGGAAGTAAAACAGCAGGGGCGGCTCCGCCAGGGGAGCGCGGCGGGAGGCCGGCGGATGCAGAGATCGCCCTCCAAGAGATGGCAGCAGCTTTGGGTTCCTCCTTCTGCTCCTCCTCCTCCTTCCTATCCTCCTCCTCCTCCTCCTCCGCCTCCGCCTCCTCCTCCTCCTCCTCCTCCTCCTCCTCCTCCTCCTCCTCCTCCTCCTCCTCCTGCGCTCCTCCTGCGCTCCTCCTGCTCCTCCTGCTCCTGCTCCTGCTCCTCCTCCTCCTCCTCCTCCTCCTCCTTTCCTCCTCTCCTCCTCCTCATGCATCGTCCCTCCTCTCCTCTCCTCTCCTGCTCCTCCTCCTCCTCCTCTTCCTCTTGCTCCTCCTCCTCCTTCCTCCTCCTCCTCCTCTTGCTCCTCCTCCTCCTCCTCCTCCTCCTCCTATCCTCCTCCTCCTCATCCTCCTCCTCCGCTCCTCTCCTCCTCCTCCCTCCTCCCTCCTTCCTCTCCTCCTCCTGTCCTCCTTCTCTCCTCCTTCTCTTTGTCCTCCTCTCTCCTCCTCCTCCTCCTGCTCCTGCCTCCTCCTCCTCTCTCTCCTCCTGCTCCTTCTGCTCTCCTTCTCCTGCTTCCTCCTCCTCCTGCTCCTGCTCCTGCTCCTCCTCTCCTCTCCTCCTCCTCTTCCTCCTCTTTCTCCTCCTCCTCCTCCTTTCCTCCTCCTCCTCCTCCTCTTCCTCCTCCTCCTCCTCTCTCCTCTCCTGCTCCTCCTCCTCCCCTCCTCCTCCTCCTCCTCCTCCTCCTCCTCCTCCTCCTCCTCCTCTCTCTGCTCCTCCTCCTCCTCCTCCTCCTCCTCCTCCTCCTCCTCCTCCTCCTCCTCCTCCTCCTCCTCCTCCTCCTGCTCCTGCTCCTGCTCCTGCTCCTGCTCCTGCACCTCCTCCACTTCCTCGACATATGGATCTGGCTCGAGAAATGCCGCAGAGAGGTAGGCTGTAGGGCTCTGGCTGAGATGTTTGCCAATGCTGTTGGTTTTGCTCGCGACGTCGGGTCTCGCAGGCGACTTGTCTCCCCCAATCCCCGAGACGCGCCCGAAGAGGTAGGCCGCTCAGAGAAAGGGGGGAACTCTGGGATACACCCCCAGGGGGCTGTCCGGACGCAGCCGTAATCATCGTGGATGGACGCCCCCCCAGTGTGTCTCCCCGAGTTGGACCCCGAATGTTGCGTCGAATCGATTGCCCCTCAAGGCCTGGGATTGGGATCGCCATGCTCCCCGATTGGATCGTCGGCTTGTTGGCTCGTCAGCTGCTTGGCTGGCTGATTGGTTGGCGCATTGGTTGAGGAGTCGGTCGGTCGGTTCGTTGCTGCTCGCTTTGTCTGCTCGATTGCAGGGGTGAGGCTGTTCTCAAACGTTCCCTTCTGCTTGCCTGCCCGTCTGTCAGCCTCTCCTCGCTCTTCAGGGGTAACGATCGGGGGGGGTCGGCATAGAGGGGGGATGCATCGATCCCCAATCGTCCACTCATCGCCGACAGGGCCCCGATAGCCCCACCCTTCCAAGGCACGTGCGGATTCGCTATCGCGGGCCTTCCGCCGATCTGTCGGCGACCTGTCGCCGACTCAAGGTCGATGTCTCCCCCCATGCCAGGCCCCCCCCCCTCACCGCTGCCCCTCAGCTCTGGCCTTCCTCTTTAGGGCCTCAGGGTTATGAGGTCCCAACCTACTCTAGCCTTCACCACCAGAAAGAATTCCGAGCACCAAAAAAGTACCGAAACTCGAGGGTTTTCACGCGTCGGGCCCTGGGAGACCCTCGCCCGACACTGCTTCGACACTCTTTCGACACGTTTCCGGGTGCTCGAAATTAGTGTTGGGATGTGGTCCTTAAGCACGATGGGAGCCACATAGCCTCAGGGCAGCGCCGCGCCTCGGCGCCGCGGCGTGCTCGCGAGGGCGCGCGCGAGCTCGCGCGGCGAAGCCGGGCGCCGGCCTCGCGGCCGCGCGCGCGCGAGCGGCCCCTCGCCGCGGGAGGTGGCCTCTGGCGCGCGGCAGCTTCGAGCCTCTCGGCGGCCCTCCCACTCACCGGAGTGACCTCTGGCGGGGGCCCACCGGGGTCTCCGCGATCGCTGAGCGCGATGCGCTGGCTGCGGCCTGCGGGCACGGCTTTGGCCGCCTCGCGCCCCCCCGGACCGCGCACCAAAGGTCACCCTTGCCGAGGGTCACTACAGCGTGTGGCCGAACCGCGAGCGGCGCAAGGGCGGCGCTCGAGGTTCGAGGATCGAGCCTACCGTGTTTTTGTCCCGCCCCGTTCGAGCCTCCACGGGTGGCCTCGTCGCCATGGCTGGACTCGCCTTACAAGTCTGGCAAGCCAGAACAGGTCCGGGGTCCGGGGATGGGTTTCTGAACCCCAAATCCTGTCATCCTCGCCTCTTCTCGTCGGAGCACAACCACGACGGACCGCTCTCGTCGAAGTTCTTGGGGGTCGCCTCTCGCCCCGTGGAGCCTCCCGGCAGCTGCGCCGCACCGCGGGCGTTCCAGGGGTGCCCGGATCGCCCCGACCGGCCGCTGGGGACCCAGGTTACCCTGACCTTCCAGAGTGCTAAAAAATGGCCTTCCAGACCTATAGACCTATCTGGACTGCTTTAAGCCTCGACAGGAATGTAGACGCCAAGGTCCTGGTGCTGCTTTTCCCCAAACAGCTTGCTGAACGGGGTGCTGTTGTGATAGAAGCTAACTCCGGCCGAGGGAAGTCGGAGCAGAGACATCCTCACAAAAATTTGATGGTCCCGGCCGTTTCGCTTGAGACATCCTCACAACTCTCGTTTCTGAGTTGGCCGGGATTGGCCGTTTCGCCTGAGACGTCCTCGAAAAGTTGTGCTCCGGGACGCCACGCGAGAGGTGGTCTGGGCCGTTTCGCTTGAGACATCCTCGAAACTCTGAGCCCCGTGGTGCCGTGCGAGAGGTGGTCCGGGCCGTTTCGCCTGAGACATCCTCGAAACTCTGAGCTCTGAGATGCCTTGCGCGAGGTGGTCCGGCCCGTTTCGCCTGAGACATCCTCGAAACTCTAACCTCGGAGATGCCGCGCGAGAGGTGGTCCGGCCCATTTCGCCTGAGACATCCTCGCAACTTCTGAGCTCTGAGATGCCTTGCGCGAGGTGGTCCGGCCCGTCTCGCCTGAGACATCCTCGCAACTCTGAGCTCTGAGATGCCGTGCGCAAGGTGGTCCGGCCTGTTTCGCACAAGACATTCTCACAACTCTGAGCTCTCAGATGCTGCGCAAGAGGTGGTCCGGCCTGGGGGCCCAGAAGACCACATGTTACATATCCTCCCTGGGACCCTAGAGCCCGCCTGAGACATCCTCGAAACTCTAACCTCGGAGATGCCCTGCGCGAGGTGGTCCGGCCCATCTCGCCTGAGACATCCTCGCAACTCTGAGCTCTGAGATGTCGTGCGCAAGGTGGTCCGGCCCGTTTCGCACAAGACATTCTCGCAACTCTGAGCTCGCAGATGCTGCGCAAGAGGTAATCCAGCCTGGGGGCCCGGAAAACCACATGTTACATATCCCCCCAAGGACCCTGGGAGCCCCAGGAGGCCCCAGAGAGCTTCAGGAGGCCGCAGGACGCCCAGGACAGGCCCCAGGGGTCCCAGGAGGCTCCCAGGAGGCCCCAGGAGGCCCCCGATCAGAACGTGTCAAGTTAATACACATCTGGTGTCGATTCGTTGATTTTTCCTGCTCTCGTGCCCCCCCCCATTGTGAGGGGCCCCGACGGCCACATGTTAGACATCCCCCCCTGGGAGCCCCAAGAGGCTTCAGGAAGCCCCAGGTGGGGTCCAGGAGGCCACAGGAGGCCCAGGAGGAAGCCCCAGGAGGTCATCAGGAGGTCCCAGGAGGCTCCAGGAGACCCCCGCAACTCCGCGCGCTCGAGGTGGTCCGGCCCGTTTCGCCTGAGACTTCCTCGCAGCACGTTTC